GAAATCCACATCGGAAGCAATGATAACTCAAAATTATCGATACGCAAATTCCAGGGCTCTAACATACAACAAGAAAAGTCAGTTCCCTGCAATGCATTAGACTGCTCAAGGTATAGCAGATTCATGATAAGCTGGGATCAAGGTCGAATTCTGGTTCTGTACGAAGACGAGAGCAAGGACGGGGACGGCTGGACCAGTTTAATCGACTGGGCGGATTCTGGCACGGCGCTTGCTATTATTGATATCGGATTTACTACAGAAATTGACACTGATGGACACTGGAAAACCGTTTACCTAGGTATGAAATGCCTATTGTTTATTGCTAATTGGCATAAAGATATATATCTAAAAATATAAAACATAACAATGCAGATTTAGTCATGTTTAATATAACAATAACAAATTGAAATGTTTTATTTGTTGTTCCAGGATCACCAACAAACTTACACACTTCTGCTACGGGAACCGACAGCAACCACACATTTGAACTCCTACAGAACGCACCATTCGACTACCCTCTCGTGCAAGAACCGTATATCATATTCAAAGTTAAAGCTTGCTCCAATGTTCGTCTTGGTTTAAAGGAAGACGAATCTGTTGATGGCAAGTTGTGGGAGATAGCATTTGATGTCGAACGAAATGACGAAAAGGAAATTCAGATTCGAAGGTTTATGGACGGAGTTCGAAAAGATAGCAAGATAATCACTGTACTTGACTGTAACAGTTTTCAGAGGTTTTTGGTGAGCTGGCGGAACAACCATATACAAGTGTTCCACGAGAACTCGGGTGAATGGGTATCTATCATAGATTGGGTTGATGATAAAGGAGGAAGGGATGTCGCCTATATCGGAGTGTATGGCGATGAAGCTGACTGGATTTTCTATGACGACTATGAAATAGGTAAGGTATCCAATGTTGATTATACTGAGTCAAGAATACTTCGATTATTTTCTATTTATTCAGTTTTTGCTCATTTAAATTGTGTCGGCTTCTTTGCCATTTTCGTGTATTTTGTAGGAATAGACATACCAGCTGGTGGCAGTACGTCTGAAACAATGGCGGGACTCAATGACTTGGAAGGGAACTTATCAGAATTAGAAATCGAGGAGAACAGGGCTAACATTGCCATTTATGCTCTAAAATTCCTTTTGGACAAGTAAGCAATCATCCCATTTGATTATTACATAACAGAAGCGGCCTTGTCGTGTGTAATGAAATACTGACATAAATCATTAGATAATTATACGCTGTGATTTCATATAGCTACGCTATCAGTGCAATGTTTCAAAGAGTCTTTCAAAGAAAACTTAAGATTAAATTGTCTGTTTTTCCTTTCTTAAGTTCCAACCTTGTAACCTGATAAATAAGTTTCATGGAATACATAATATCGAATATTAAATATTGTATTGTACTCATTTTCCACTGGCCTGGTGTCACTTTCGGTGGTTTGGTGTCATTTCCGGTTATGTGGGAATTCACGCTGTCTCTTCTGTGTTGGCTTCTCAGTTTCATTTTTCTTTTCACCAAACTGTTTTCTAACAATGTTGACGTTGCATTTATTTAGCTATTAATTGTCATTACGATGATGTTACGCGTAAAGTAACAATATAATTCCCTGTTACTCAATATTTCTAAATGCTTTTTCAATCCGAAATACTGTTCTTTGCCAGGACTTAAATATTCGTGCTATTGTTGTACGGACTTTCAACATATCACCTGACCCAGGTCACCGATTTATGATCATTGACTAGATTTTTTCAAACCCCTAAGCGGCGCGAAGCGCCTCTGGGTTTGATCTGTAAACACTTTCTCCACGTCCGGTGGTTCCCAATGCGGAAAAGCCTTCTGGTAAATTGTGGCCGAAAATATATTAGTAAACCCCTAAAATATCTGTACTTATCATATTTTACCAGTGATATATCAGTCATTTTCCGTTTGATAAAATCTGTTATCTTCACTTCAGTCAAGATATACGAAATGTTATATCTTCACAGATAAAGATATCATTCACATTATTGTCCAATCAGAAAGGTAATTACTCTTCATTTGTAAAGATTTTTAGTTTCAAGTTCACATGAAGCGACGGCGAAATAAGTGGCTGTTTTGTTCTACTTTTGCTTACATAACTACATGATTGATATCAATTTTGTTTGAAAAATCTTACCAAATAATAGCAGCAACGGCAAACATTGCATTTAGAACCCCTTTTCAAATGGCGCTCTGCATTGTTGTCAAGCGTGACGTCATTAAAACCTGACGTCAAACATTACACTTCAAATTCCCGCACTTTTCTGATGTAGCAACATTTGCTTCGCGTTCCTCTAAAAATTGTATTAAAAAGAAAATTTAATGATTTTCCCGTTGAACACTAGATATGTATTTCACATGTTTAAAACAAATATGTAGTTACAATCGGAAAACTAGCGTTATGGCGGAGTGTGTTTTCGTTGAAGACTAGAGAGGTAACAACTTCCTCGACAAGTATCCTCAACCAGATATTAACATTTTATGTAAAATCCAATTTAAAAGGGGCTATATTTAACACTTTGACCCAGAAGACAGTTGATAATTTATTTAAAAGTGTATTATCAAATAAAATCTTAGTGAAAAAAACGGCAAATATAAATGATATTTTTCGTACATCATCGTTCTGTATCTTCTCTCTGATGAGGTGACATTGTTACCAAAGTGTTGACATTTAAACATGCATTAAAACAAAGTTCCCGCCTTGGGAAAATGATTGAATGACAATGCAGCATGTGAGGATAATGAGAGTGAAAGGAATATTAGGTACGTTAAAAGTAATGCCATTAATGTTCGAATAATACATTCAAGTGTGCAGGGTCTGTCCTTCGTAGTTTTTGGACTGTCCGTAAGTGATTTTTCGTCTAAATATCTGGTGTCCAGCAGCTTTGCTGCATTTTCTTGTTAATTTGTTTTTGGTTATTTATTTGACCATTCAATTTTAGTGATGAATTTTGGAATGGCACCGTACTTTCAATAAAAAGCTAATTTTCAATATTTCAGGGGACCATTCCAATCTCTCGCAGAACTCAAGCAGATCCCAGGGTTTTCAGACGCTTTCAAAACAGGACAAACGAACCATGATTCAAAGGCTTGCAAGGAAGAAAATATAAAATGCACTAATACAATTAAGAAGTCGCAATTCAGGACCATAGACGGAACGTGTAACAACCTGAATAATCCAGGTTGGGGGTCCACTGGTAGTGCCCAACGCAGACTTATCGCAGCCGCTTACGAGGATGGTACGTACGAGCGCATACAAATACGGGCACATCTGAGATTATTTTGCTGTGTATTGATTCTATAACGCTATATTACGTGTAGCCTCCTGTGAAATCTGAGATCCTACATTTGGAAACAATGATTATTTCAGTTGATCTGCTCCCAAAATTACAACACTTGCGGCCTCTTTTCTATTTTTTATCTCTTGCCTACTCTTTTATTTTCGATGGTATTACTGTAGGTGGATGTTCGGTTATTCCGACTGTTATGTTACAAAACATTACAAAAACATGTGTGTCATTTCAGAAATGAAATTGGAATTGAAAAACTGACTCACTATATAAAAAATAAATAAATAAAAATAAACTCCATTATATTAATTGATATAAACTATACATCATCAAGTAATGCTCTTTATTAAACTTGTTTTCCTTCCTTCAATTTTCGTTAAATCTGAAAGTGTCGTTTTCAAACATCTTTTTTTTGTGCATTAAAATATTGTCTTTTCTCTTTCCTCAGTCGTAGCTATACTGTTTCTGTGTGCTAAGCAGTACCTTTAATTCAGTACTATTTTCTATCCATACCCTGCTTCGACCGAAGTTGAGGGTGAATAGTATCCGAATCGCTCTTGCGCATGTCCTAGCCTACTGATTGTGGTTTCCGGAGTATAAACGTGTATCTCGGCCACGTTCTCAAGATTGGGCATGAAGCTTTGTATGACGGAGCGTCGAATCCTATTTAACGATAACAATGTCACCTCGAATTCACCTTTGACCTCGACTACTAAAACAATGGCTTTTGCAGAATATATCGGCTGCTGTTTCGTGACCTGGCATACAATTCCACATGTAGGGTACATCATGGGGAGGCGGTATGTCGTATCCTAAAACAAAATTACTGCGACCTTAAGTTGACCTTTGACCTTGAACTAAACTACATTGTGTATTGAAACTAACTTCCAAATTACAGCATAATAAAGATTTGCACAACATATCTCCTCCTCTGTTTCATGAGTGGCCTTCAAAGCTTTTAGAAAAGCGAGGATCGAGGGGTATCCAGGAAGCCCTAACTTGGAGTTATATCTAGTTTTGTATTAAATTCATGAATGTTCGTAATGAATTGCTGATTCATTTATAATTTTCGCTCATCAAGTATTAATTGTTTGAATGGGTTGAAGTGATCGATACATGTAACAATAGACTTTCAAGTCCAAGACAAGTGTCGATTATTTTATTCAGCTATTTGTAGACTCTACTTATATTTCTTTTGTAGATAACTATGAAAAACCTGTATTTGAATACATATATTTCCTATTCGTGACCTCGTGTAACAAAATCTAAGTGGAAAACTAGAAAATAATCATTCACAAAGTATACTATATATGTATGTCTCCTTTCAGGAGTCAATGAACCGAACAATGTTGGTGTGAATAACATCGCACTGCCGAGTCCACGAAAAGTGTCAAATGTTGCAATGAGGGACGAAACTGATGAGGAGACACCCAACGACCCGACGAGGACAATTATGATGGCCATCTTTGGTCAATTTATTGACCACGACATCACCGAGACACCGCAGTCTAAAAGTACTATATAATGCTATCTGTGATACGTTGTGTAACAACACTATCTAAAGCTAGCTTCATTGAGGCACTGTCCCCTCCCGTTAGTTCACTGTCCCCTCCCGTAAGTTCACTGTCCCCTCCAGTTAGTTCACTGTCCCCTCCCGTAAGTTCACTGTCCCCTCCAGTTAGTTCACTGTCCCTTCCCCGTTAGTTTACTGTCCCCTCCCGTTATTTCCCTGTCCCCTCCCGTTAGTTTACTGTCCCCTCCCGTTAGTTCACTGCCATCTCCCGTTAGTTTACTGTCCCCTCCCGTTATTTCACTGTCCCCTCCCGTTAGTTCACTGTCCCCTCCAGTTAGTTCACTGTCCCCTCCAGTTAGTTTACTGTCCCGTCCCGTTAGTTCACTGTCCCCCCCCGTTAGTTCACTGTCCCCTCCAGTTAGTTCACTGTCCCCTTCAGTTAGTTTACTGTCCCTTCCCGTTAGTGCACTGTCCCCTCCCGTTAGTTCACTGTCCCTTCCCGTTAGTTTACTGTCCCCTCCAGTTAGTTCACTGTCCCTTCCCGTTAGTTTACTGTCCCTTCCCGTTAGTTTACTGTCCCTTCCCGTTAGTTTACTGTCCCTTCCCGTTAGTTCACTGCCCCCTCCCGTTAGTTTACTGTCCCTTCCCGGTAGTTTACTGTCCCCTCCCGTTAGTTTACTGTCCCCTCCCGTTAATTTACTATCCCTTCCCGTTAGTTCACTGTCCCCTCCCGTTAGTTTACTGTCCCTTCCCGTTAGTTTACTGTCCCCTCCAGTTAGTTCACTGCGATCTCCCGTAAGTTCACCGTTAATTTACTGTTCCTTTCCGTGAGTTCACTTTCCCCTCCCGTTAGTTCACTATCCCCTCCCGTTAGTTTACTGTCCCTTCCTGTTAGTTTACTGTCCCCTCCCGTTAGTTCGCTGTCCCCTCCCGTTAGTTCACTGTCCCCTCCAGTTAGTTCACTGCCATCTCCCGTAAGTTCACCGTTAATTTACTGTTCCTTTCCGTTAGTTCACTGTCCCCTCCCGTTAGTTCACTGCCGTCTCCCGTAAGTTCACTGTCCTCTCCCGTTAGTTCACTGCCTCCTCCCGTTATTTCACTGTCCCCTCCCGTTAGTGCACTGTCCCTTCCCGTTAGTTTACCGTTCCCTTCCCGTGAGTTCACTGTCCCCCCCCCTGTTAGTTCACTGTCCCCTCCCGTTAGTTCTCTTTCCCCTCCCGTTAGTTCACTGTCCCCTCCCGTTAGTTTACTGCCCCCTCCCGTTAGTTTACTGCCATCTCCCGTTAGTTTACTGTCTCCTCCCGTTAGTCCACTGTCCCCTCCCGTTAGGTTACTGTCCCCTCCCGTTTGTTTTCTGTCCCCTCCCGTTAGTTCAATGTCCCCTCCCGTTAGTTCCCTGCCCCCTCCAGTTAGTTCACTGCCGTCTCCCGTAAGTTCACTGCCCCCTCCCGTTTGATTACTGTCCCCTCCCGTTAGAACATTGTCCCTTCCCGTTAGTTCACTGTACCCTCCCGTTAGATTACTGTCCCCTCCCGTTAATTCACTGTCCCTTCCCGTTCGTTTACCGTTCCCTTCCCGTTAGTTCACCGTCCCCTCCCGTTAGTTTACTGACCCCTCCCGTTAGTTCACTGGCCCCTCCCGTTAGGTTACTGTCCCCTCCCGTTTGTTTACTATTCCTTTCCGTTAGTTTACTGTCCCTTCCCGTTAGTTCTCTGTCCCCTCCCGTTAGGTCACTGCCCTCTCCCGTAAGTTCACTGTCCTCTCCCGTTACTTCACTGCCTCCTCCCGTTATTTCACTGACCCCTCCCGTTAGTTTACTGATCCTTCCCGTTAGTTCACTGCCCTCTCCCGTTAGTTCACTGCCCCCCCCCGTTAGTTTACTGTCCCTTAGTGCACTGTCCCTTCCCGTTAGTTCTCTGTCCCCTCCCGTTAGTTCGCTGTCCCCTCCCGTTAGTTTACTGTCCCGTCCCGTTAGTTCACTGTCCTCTCCCGTTAGTTCACTGCCCCCCCCCGTTAGTTTACTGTCCCTCCCCTTAGTTCACTGTCCCCTCCAGATAGTTAACTGTCCCCTCCCGTTAGAACATTGTCCCTTCCCGTTAGTTCTCTGTCCTCTCCCGTTATTTCACTGCCCCCTCCCGTTAGTTTACTGCCATCTCCCGTAAGGGCACTGTCCCCTCCCGTTAGCTCCCGTTAGATTACTGTCCCTCCCCGTTAGTTCACTGCCATCTCCCGTAACTTCACTGTCCTCTCCCGTTACTTCACTGCCTCCTCCCGTTATTTCACTGACCCCTCCCGTTAGTTTACTGATCCTTCCCGTTAGTTCACTGCCCTCTCCCGTTAGTTCACTTCCTCCTCCCGTTATTTCACTGACCCCTCCCGTTAGTTTACTCCCGTTAGTTTACTGTTCCTTTCCGTTAGCTCACTGTCCCCTCCCGTTAGAACATTGTCCCTTCCCGTTAGTTCTCTGTCCCCTCCCGTTAGTTCAATGTCCCCTCCCGTTAGTTCCCTGCCATCTCCCGTAAGGTCACTGGCCCCTCCCGTTAGTTCTCTGTCCCCTCCCGTTAGGTCACTGTTCCCTCCCGTTAGATCACTGTCCCTTCCCGTTAGTGCACTGTCCCTTCCCCTTAGTTTACTGTCCCCTCCAGTTGGTTCACTGTCCCCTCCCGTAAGTCCACTGGGCCCTCCCGTTAGTTCACTGGCATCTCCCGTTAGTTTACTGTCCCGTCCCGTTAGTTCACTGCCACCTCCCGTAAGGTCACTGTCCCATCCCGTTAGTTCACTGTCCCTTCACGTTAGTTCACTGTCCACTCCCGTTAGTTCACTGCCATCTACCGTAAGGTCACTGTCCCCTCCCATTAGCTCACTGTCCCCTCCCGTTAGTCCACTGCCATCTCCCGTAAGTTCACTGTCCCCTCCCGCTCGTTTACTGTTCCTTTCCGTTAGTTTACTGTCCCCCGTAAGTTCACTGTCCCCTCCCGATAGTTCAATGTCCCCTCCCGTTAGTTTCCTGTCCCTTCCCGTTATTTCACTGTCCCGTCCCGTTAGTTTACTGTCCCTCCCCGTTAGTTCACTGTCCCTCCCGTTAGTTGACTGTCCCCTCCCGTTAGTTTACTGACCCCTCCCGTTAGTTTACTGACCCCTCCCGTTAGTTTACTGACCCCTCCCGTTAGTTTACTTTCCCCTCCCGTTAGTTTCCTCTCCCCTCCCGTTAGTTTTCTGTCCCCTCCCGTTTGTTTTCTGTCCCCTCCCGTTTGTTTACTATTCCTTTCCGTTAGTTTACTTTCCCCTCCCGTTAGTTTACTGATCCTTCCCGTTAGTTCACTGTCTCCTCCCGTTAGTCCACTGTCCCCTCCCGTTAGAACATTGTCCCTTCCCGTTAGTTCTCTGTCCCCTCCCGTTAGGTTACTGTCCCCTCCCGTTTGTTTTCTGTCCCCTCCCGTTTGTTTACTATTCCTTTCCGCTATTTTACTGTCCCCTCCCGTTCGTTCACTGCCATCTCCCGTAACTTCACTGTCCTCTCCCGTTAGTTCACTGCCCCCCCCCGTTAGTTTACTGTCCCTTAGTGCACTGTCCCTTCCCGTTTGTTTACCGTTCCCTTCCCGTTAGTTCACCGTCCCCTCCCGTTAGTTCAATGTCCCCTCCCGTTAGTTCCCTGCCATCTCCCGTAAGGTCACTGCCCCCTCCCGTTATTTCACTGTCCCCTCCCGTTTGGTCACTGTCCCCTCCCCTTAATTTACTGTCCCCTCCCGTTAGCTTACTGTCCCCTCCCGTTAGAACATTGTCCCTTCCCGTTAGTTCTCTGTCCTCTCCCGTTAGTTCACTGGCCCTTTCCGTTAGTTCACTGTCACTGTCCCCTCCCGTTAGGTTACTGTCCCCTCCCGTTTGATTACTGTCCCCTCCCGTTAGCTCCCGTTAGATTACTGTCCCTCCCCGTTAGTTCACTGCCATCCCCCGTAAGGTCACTGTCCCATCCCGTTAGTTTACTGTTCCTTTCCGTTAGTTTACTTTCCCCTCCCGTTAGTTCTCTTTCCCGTCCCGTTAGTTCACTGCCATCTCCCGTAAGGTCACTGGCCCCTCCCGTTAGGTTACTGTCCCTTCCCGTTAGTTTACCGCTCCCTTCCCGTGAGTTCACTGTCCCCCCCCAGTTCACTGTCCCCTCCCGCTTGATTACTGTCCCTTCCCGCTAGTTCACTGTCCCCTCCCCCGTTTGTTTACTGTTCCTTTCCGTTAGCTCACTGTCCCCTCCAGTTAGTTTACTGATCCTTTCCGTCAGTTCACTGTCCCCTCCCGTTAGTTCACTGCCATCTCCCGTAAGGTCACTGTCCCCTCCCGTTAGTTCACTGTCCCCTCCCGTTAGTTCACTGCCATCTCCCGTAAGTTCACTGTCCCCTCCCGTTAGTTCACTGCCATCCCCCGTAAGGTCACTGTCCCCTCCCGTTAGTTAACTGTCCCCTCCCGTTAGTTTAATGTCCCCTCCCGTTAGTTCACTATCCCCTCCAGCTAGTTCACTGTCCCCTCCCGTTAGTTCACTGCCATCCCCCGTAAGGTCACTGTCCCCTCCCGTTAGTTTACTGTCCCTTCCCGTTAATTCACTGTCCCCTCCCGTTAGTTCACTGTCCCTCCCGTTAGTTCACTGGCCCCCCCCGTTAGTTCACTGTCCCCTCCCGTTAGTTAACTGTCCCCTCCCGTTAGTTTAATGTCCCCTCCCGTTAGTTCACTATCCCCTCCAGTTAGTTCACTGTCCCCTCCCGTTAGTTCACTGCCATCCCCCGTAAGGTCACTGTCCCCTCCCGTTAGTTTACTGTCCCTTCCCGTTAATTCACTGTCCCCTCCCGTTAGTTCACTGTCCTCTCCCGTTAGTTTACTGTCTCCTCCCGTTAGGTCACTGTCCCCGCCCGATAGGCCACTGTCCCCTTTCGTTAGTTCACTGCCCCCTCTCGTTAGTTCACTGTCCACTCCCGTTAGTTTACTGTCTCCTCCCGTTAGTTCACTCTCCCCTCCCGTTAGGTCACTGTCCCCTTTCGTTAGTTCACTGCCCCCTCTCGTTAGTTCACTGTCCACTCCACTGTCCCCTCCCGCTAGTTCACTGTCCCCTCCCGTTAGTTTACTGATCCTTTCCTTCAGTTCACTGTCCCCTCCCGTTAGTTCACTGCCACCTCCCGTAAGGTCACTGTCCCCTCCCGTTAGTTCACTGTCTCCTCCCGTTAGTTCACTATCCCCTCCCGTTAGGTTACTGTCCCCTCCCGTTAGTTCACTGTCCCTCCCGTTAGTTCACTGGCCCCCCCCGTTAGTTCACTGTCCCCTCCCGTTAGATTACTGTACCTTCCCGTTAGTTCACTGTCCCCTCCCGTTAGTTTACTGATCCTTTCCTTCAGTTCACTGTCCCCTCCCGTTAGTTCACTGCCATCACCCGTAAGTTCACTGTCCCCTCCCGTTAGTTTACTGTCTCCTCCCGTTAGTTTACTGTCCCCTCCCGTTAGTTCACTGCCCCCTCCCGTTAGTTCACTGTCCCCTCCCGTTTGATTACTGTCCCCTCCCGTTAGTTTACTGTCCCTCCCATTAGTTCACTGTCCCCTCCCGTTAGTTTACTGTCCATCCCATTAGTTCACTGTCCCCTCCCGTTAGTTTACTGTCTCCTCCCGTTAGTTCACTGTCTCCTCCCGTTAGGTCACTGTCCCCTTTCGTTAGTTCACTGCCCCCTCTCGTTAGTTCACTGTCCACTCCCGTTAGTTTACTGTCTCCTCCCGTTAGTTCACTGTCCCCTCCCGTTAGTTCACTGTCCCTCCCGTTAGTTCCCTGTCCCCTCCCGTTAGTTCGCTGTCCCCTCCCATTAGTTCCCTGTCCACTCCCGTTAGTTTACTTTCTCCTCCCGTTAGTTCCCTGTCCCCTCCCCTTAGTTCACTGTCCCCTTCCGTTAGTTTACTGTCCCTCCCATTAGTTCACTGTCCCCCCCCCTGTTAGTTCACTGTCCCCCCCCCCCCCGTTAGTTTACTGTCGCCTCCCGTTAGTTCACTATCCCCTCCAGTTAGTTCGTTAGTTCACTGTCCCTCCCGTTAGTTCACTTTCCCCACTCGTTAGTTCACTGCCCCCTCCCGGTAGTTTACTGTCTCCTCCCGTAAGTTCACTGTCCCTCCCGTTAGTTCACTTTCCCCACTCGATAGTTCACTGCCCCCTCCCGGTAGTTTACTGTCCCCTCCAGTTAGTTCACTGCCCCCCCCCGTTAGTTTACTGTCCCCTCCCGTTAGTTCACTGTCCCCTCCCATTAGTTCACTGTCCACTCTCGTTAGTTCACTGCCTCCTCCCGTTAGTTTACTGTCCCCTCCCGTTAGTTCACTGTCTCCTCCCGTTAGTTCACTGTCCCCTCCCGTTAGTTTACTGTCCCCTCCCATTAGTTCACTGTCCCCTCCCGTTAGTTCACTGTCCCCTTCCGTTAGTTTACTGTCCCCGCCCGTTAGTTTACTGTCCCCTCCCGTTAGTTCACTGTCCCCTTCCGTTAGTTTACTGTCCCCGCCCGTTAGTTTACTGTCCCCTCCCGTTAGTTCACTGTCCCCTCCCATTAGTTCACTGTCCACTCCCGTTAGTTCACTGTCCCCTCCCGTTAGTTTAATGTCCCCTCCCGTTAGTTCACTATCCCCTCCAGTTAGTTCACTGTCCCCTCCCGTTAGGTCACTGTCCCCTTTCGTTAGTTCACTGCCCCCTCTCGTTAGTTCACTGTCCACTCCCGTTAGTTTACTGTCTCCTCCCGTTAGTTTACTGTCCCCTCCCGTTAGTTCACTGTCTCCTCCCGTTAGTTCACTGTCCCCTCCCGTTAGTTTACTGTCCCTTCCCGTTAGTTCACTGTCCCTCCCGTTAGTTCACTGTCCCCTCCCGTTAGTTCACTGTCCCTTCCCGTTAGTTCACTGTCCCCTTCCGTTAATTACATCATTTTTACTTTAATTCGTACATAAATGTCATTATTTATGAAATAATCAACGTATGTGCGTATATTATGGTGGAATATATATATAACGATGGTGAGAAATATTGGAGAAAATTATTTTAAACAGTTGATTATTTTTCCAACATTTTCGAATCCCGAATTATATATTGCACCTCAATATACAAACAGATGTTGTTTATATCCATTGTAACAATTTAAAGGGAACATGTCTTGTCTACCTCAGTGTCTGTACACCTACCATATGCAAGGTGTCCTAGATAATCTTATTATTCAAATAGGCTATTCTTTTGCGCGCGCTAACATTTGTCACGTGATGTCAATATGTCTCCATTTAACAACACGGTGAGCGTTTTTTTTTTATCATTTGTGAACATGTGGGTAGTTGTCCTATTTTGTCTATTTATTCTGGATGTATTTGGGAACGATTTTTCATTTTCACAAACGATCAATAATAAACACTGACGTCATGCGTTATGCCAGATGTTTATTTCAATCAATCATATCCACTAATCAATTGACATCGGTCATCAACACATGAAATCAGCATTTGACAGATTTACAAACTCCATTTCAAGTCATCATCGCGGTCAGTTCACCGGATAACTCTGGTCATGAGCTTGAAAGGTGTGAAATAAATCTAGAGGCTAGGCTAAATATATCATTTTTGACCGCTACCAAATCTTTATATACACACAAAATTAAATGCGGGTACCATCATTCGATAAATGAAACCAGTCCCACCACTCGTTTGTTTACCGGTACATTTAATTGCAGGGGCAGTTTTTGGAAGAGCGTTGGTCTGTTGGAAAATAATACATGTTTGCGCATGGTCTATCGTCCATGGTTATTAACCAATGAAAAGTGGCTTTAAACATGTGGTAGAGTTCTCGATAACATATCCACTCTTATGTCGTACGACATGTTCTTAACCATGGTGTCGTTATATAACGGTCATGGATGAATGCTAGGAGTGATGACGTAGTGTTGTATACCTATTCTAATTACAGTTATACGATCGAATGTATGATATGGGGAATGCCGCCTTAGAATCCAATTTTCAGGGAATAAACCGGAATGAATATTGTTCAAGCCGTTAACAAAAGTACGGCTATATATATATCTTTGTTTACAATATAAACATATTATGGAGAAAGGAAGTTTGAACTCAGATTTTGTAGCAGATCTAACAAAGGATATTGCTTAAAAAGGATATTTCCTTTTTACCGGAACCGATAAGTAATATTCGATTTGCTTGTTAAAGTTTGAATATTCATTTGTAAATCAGAAGAAAACATTTCACATGATAATGCACTAAAATCAGGATTGATAACTGGAGTTAAATGCAGGTAATCAGCAAAACACCTTTCCACAGGAAAATAAAATATACAGTAGCTCACACACCAGTACTAAGCTATAGAGTTGGTGATCTGTGCTGGCCTTTTATATTAAGACAAGCACTGATAGAAATGTTTATTGTTTGATGTGTTGGGAAAACACTTAAACATGTTTATGAACTACTTGCAGGTCTTCATGAGTCAATTACTGGCTGTTGCGCAATAACAGACGAGCTCATTCGTAATGAAAGGTGTGTTTGTATTGCTGTTACAGTAATATCCAATATAATCTGAATTTTACAATTGTCAAAAAACTCGTGAAAATGTAAGGTTGACAAGGAACGTGAATTTTATTTTGACTTTATCTAGAAAACAATTCAATGCTATGGTGATTTGGTAAAAATAAAATAAAATATATTATTTTATTTTTATCATAAAAAGTAATAAGAAATGTTTACCATTTTATTAATTTTTTTTTTCTTTTCTAAAATCAAATTAAGTGCACACAATATATAAATACGCATTCAACTGTTCTAACTGTTGATGACTAACATACATGATTTGTTTGTCAGGATACAGTGCAATACTATTGAAATCGACCCAGCTACCGACCCTGACTACTCCCACACATGTATGGGCCTGCGGAGATCACTACCTGCAAGGGGAGAACACATTTGTGAAGCAGGTATGTCTATTTGTGATTATTTGTGCTCGTGATATTTTACTGGAAATCTAGACGATGTTTGAAATAATGGCCAATCATTAGGCATAGCCTAGCGGGCTTCAAGGGATATGTATGTTACCGATGTGTGTTCATACAAGCATGAAATTGAAACAAAATGATATTCAATCCTTATGTTTGGAACGGAATAAAATTACTGTATTTAACAGTGCATTTTGACGTTACAACAGAAATGACATCATAAAGTGAATATTGACCCGCTATTAATAGAAACACCGATTCATTATCACAAATCACCAATTTCTTCGTGATTATAACCTAAACAATGATGATTTAGGAATATTTGGTTATAATCAAAGCTTCTTTTCCAGGCGTCCGGGAGCAGCTGAATGATATCACTTCTTACGTTGACGGTTCACAGATTTATGGTTCTACAGAAGAAGTAGCAAAGAGTCTACGTACATTTAAGAACGGTTAGATTGCATTATATCTTTCAAACACACGATTGATTGTGAATGCAGGGTTGGTATTGAAATACAAATCTATAGTAACGAGGAACTTGAACAACCATATTTTCCTTCTTTTATGAGTTTCATATATATATATATATATATAAACATATGTGTTTTATTTGTCCATGAATTATTTAGATTGACATATCTATTCAACTTAATTTGAATTTTATAATTTCATTAACGAAATATCAGGAATAGGATATTTGATAAAAAGGTAAATGTACGACATGTGATATCTTCACATTTGGAAATATCCCTTTTAATATTGTCCAACCGTATGTAATTTCTATGCACTGCGTTTTCAGTTTCAAGTTCAGATGAAGAGCTAACAGATGTTTTGGTATACCTTTGCATCACACATTATAATATTTACATAACTACATGTACACAATTTATATATATATATATTTTAGAAATCTTAATAGATAATACCACCAAACGGCAGAATTGTTTTGAGTGACCCATTCAAAATGGTGCTCTGCTTTGTTGTCAAGCGTAACGCCATGTAACTTGACTATAACTATAAAGCTGCTGATTCCCGCTCTTTTTAACTGCAGCAGTAAATGCGTCCTGTTACTTAGAAAGTGTTATACTTAGAACATTTAATGGTTTTCTGGTATTCAACTCAAAACCATTCAATATCAAAATATTGAATAACATCATATCATTGTTTCTTTCATATTAAACTCTATTACAGGCAAACTACTTGTGGCAGACAGTGACTTACTTCCTAAGAACAGCGATACTGCATGTGTATTGGATGACCCGGATAAGAATCATTGCTTTTTAGCAGGTTTGTATCATATGGGTGTATCACGTTTGTCGTATTGTGGATATAGCTGAACACATTTCGAGAGATATGTTTTCTCACTAAATCTAAAAAAATATCGAGTGAAAATTTCTTTATATCACGAAAAGTTTCGTTTAATGGTTTCCCATTATGAAGCGTGGTGGTCTAAGATAAGGTAAATGAGTATCAATCGTGACGAGGACTGTTTTACAAATCCTTCAAACTGACTCTATGGTCAGAAATGGTGCAAAATTATTCAATGCCATAATACAGTACCTTTCCAAGATAAATTTGAGCCAAATTAAGCTCTGACTTGTTCGAAGACCTACCTATATATGTTTGATGACCGACTTGACCATGTTTGATGACCAACCTGACCATGTTTGAAGACCGACCTGAACATGTTTGATGACCGACCGGACCATGTTTGATAACGGACCTGACCATGTTTGATCACCGACTTGACCATGTTTGATGACAGACCTGACAATGTTTGATAACCGACCTGACAATGTTTGATAACCGACCTGACCGTGTTTGATGTCAGACCTCACCATGTTTGATGTCAGGCCTGACCATGTTTGATGCCCGACCTGGCAATGTTTAATGTCAGACCTGACCAAGTTTGATGACCGACCTGACCGTGTTTGATGACCGACCTGAAAGCTCTGACTTGTTCGAAGACCTACCTATATATATTTGATGACCGACTTGACCATGTTTGATGACAGACCTGACAATGTTTGATAACCGACCTGACCAGGTTTGATAACCCACATGACCATGTTGGCCATGTTTGATGACTGATGTCAGACCTGACCGTGTTTGATGACCGACCTGACAATTTTTGATGACCAACCTGAACATGTTTGAAGACCGACCGAAATATGTTTGATAACCGACCCGACCATGTTTGATAACCAACATGATCATTTTTGATGTCAGACCTGAGCTTGCTTGATGCCCTATGTAGCCATGTTTGAAAAACGACCTGACAATGTTTGATAACCGACCTGGCAATGTTTAATGTATATGTTTGATGACCGACCTGAAAGCTCTGACTTGTTCGAAGACCTCCCTATATATGTTTGATGACCGAGTTGACCATGTTTGACGACCAACCTGACCATGTTTGATCACCGGCCTGACCATGTTTGATGCCCGACCTGGCAATGTTTAATGTATATGTTTGATGACCGAGTTGACCATGTTTGACGACCAACCTGACCATGTTTGATCACCGGCCTGACCATGTTTGATAACCAACATGATCATTTTTGATGTCAGACCTGAACATGTTTGATGTAAAATCTGACCATATTTGATGTCCACCCTGACAATGTTTAATGTCCAGGCTGACCATGTTTGAAGACCGACCGAAATATGTTTGATAACCGACCTGGCAATGTTTAATGTCAGACCTGACCAAGTTTGATGACCGACCTGACAATTTTTGATGACCAACCTGACCCTGTTTGAAGACCGACCTGAACATGTTTGATAACCGACCTGGCAATGTTTAATGTCAGACCTGACCAAGTTTGATGACCGACCTGACCACGTTTGATGTCAGACCTGAACATGTTTGATGACCGAGCTGACCATGTTTGATGTAAAATCTGACCATGTTTGATGACAGACCTGACAATGTTTGATGTCAGACCTCACCATGTTTGATGACCGACTTGTCCATGTTTGATGACCGAACTAACCATGTTTGATGTCCGACCTGGCAATGTTTAATGTCAGACCTGACCAAGTTTGATGACCGACCTGACCACGTTTGATGTCAGACCTGAACATGTTTGATGTAAAATCAAACCATGTTTGATGTCCGACCTGGCAATGTTTAATGTCCTTGCTGATCATGTTTGATAACCGACATTACCATGTTGGCCATGTTTGATGACCGACCGGACCATGTTTGATAACAGACCTGACAATGTTTGATAACCGACCTGAACATGTTTGATAACAGACCCGACCATGTTTGATAACCAACATGATCATTTTTGATGTCAGACCTGAACATGTTTGATGTAAAATCTGACCATGTTTGATGTCCGACCTGGCAATGTTTAATGTCAGACCTGACCAAGTTTGATGACCGACCTGAAAGCTCTGACTTGTTCGAAGACCTCCCTATATATGTTTGATGACCGACCGGACCATGTTTGATAACAGACCCGACCATGTTTGATAACCAACATGATCATTTTTGATGTCAGACCTGAGCTTGCTTGATGCCCTATGTAGCCATGTTTGAAAAACGACCTGACAATGTTTGATAACCGACCCGCCCATGTTTGATGTCAGACTTGACCATGTTTGATAACCAACATGATCATTTTTGATGTCAGACCTGAACATGTTTGATGTAAAATCAAACCATGTTTGATGTCCGACCTGGCAATGTTTAATGTCAGACCTGACCAAGTTTGATGACCGACCTGACAATTTTTGATGACCAACCTGAACATGTTTGAAGACCGACCGAAATATGTTTGATAACCGACCTGGCAATGTTTAATGTATATGTTTGATGACCGACCTGACCATGCTTGATGTCAGACCTGACTATGTTTGATGACCGACTTGATCATGTTTGATGACCAACCTGACCCTGTTTGAAGACCGACCTGACCATGTGTGATAACCGACATGACCATGTTGGCCATGTTTGATGACGAACCATGTTTGATAACCGACCTGGCAATGTTTAATGTCAGACCTGACCAAGTTTGATGACCGACCTGACAATGTTTGATAACCGACCTAACCATGTATGATCAACGACCTGACCATGTTTGGTAACCGACATGACCATGCTTGAAGACCGACCTCACCATGTTTGATGACCGACATGACAATGTTTGATGACCGACATGACAATGTTTGATGACCGACATGATCATGTTTGATGTTAGACCTGTCCATGTTTGATAACCGACCTAACCATGTATGATCAACGACCTGACCATGTTTGATATACAGTACCTTTCCAAGATAAATTTGAGCCAAATTAAGCTCTGACTTGTTCGAAGACCTCCCTATATATGTTTGATGACCGACCTGACCACGTTTGATGTCAGACCTGGATAACCGACCTGACCAGGTTTGATAACCCACATGACCATGTTGGCCATGTTTGATGACCGACCGGACCATGTTTGATAACGGACCTGACCATGTTTGAGAACCGACATGATCATGTATGATGTTAGACCTGACCATGTTTGGTAACCGACATGACCATGCTTGAAGACCGACCTCACCATGTTTGATGTCAGATCTGACCATTTTTGATGACCGATCTGACCATGTTTGATGTCAGTCCTGACCATGTTTGATCACCGGCCTGACCATGTTTGATAACCTACATGATCATGTTTGATGTCAGACTTGACCATGTTTGATGTCAAATCTAACCATGTTTGATGCCCGACCTGGCAATGTTTAATGTATATGTTTGATGACCGAGTTGACCATGTTTGACGACCAACCTGACCATGTTTGATATACAGTACCTTTCCAAGATAAATTTGAGCCAAATTAAGCTCTGACTTGTTCGAAGACCTCCCTATATATGTTTGATGACCGACTTGATCATGTTTGATGACCAACCTGAACATGTTTGAAGACCGACCGAAATATGTTTGATAACCGACCTGGCAATGTTTAATGTCCTTGCTGATCATGTTTGATAACCGACATTACCATGTTGGCCATGTTTGATGACCGAACTAACCATGTTTGATGTCCGACCTGGTCATGTTTCATAACCGTCCCGACCATGTTTGATGTCCGACCTGACCATGGTAGATGTCCGACCTGGCCATGTTTGATAACCGACATTACCATGTTGGCCATGTTTGATGACTGATGTCAGACCTGACCGTGTTTGATGTCAGACCTGAACATGTTTGATGTAAAATCTGACCATATTTGATGTCCACCCTGACAATGTTTAATGTCCAGGCTGACCATGTTTGAAGACCGCCCTGACCATGTTTGATGCCCGACCTGGCAATGTTTGATGTCGGCCTTACCATGTTTGAAGACCGCCCTGACCATGTTTGATGACAGACCTGACAATGTTTGATGACCGACATGACCATGTTTGAAGACCGTCCTGACCATTTTTGATAACCGACATGACAATGTTTGATGACCGACCTGACCACGTTTGATGTCAGACCTGACTATGTTTGATCACCGACCTGAACATGTTTGATAACCGACCTGGCAATGTTTAATGTCAGACCTGACCAAGTTTGATGACCGACCTGACAATTTTTGATGACCAACCTGACCATGTTTGATATACAGTACCTTTCCAAGATAAATTTGAGCCAAATTAAGCTCTGACTTGTTCGAAGACCTACCTATATATGTTTGATGACCGACCGGACCATGTTTGATAACGGACCTGACCATGTTTGAAGACCGTCCTGACCATGTTTGATCACCGACTTGACCATGTTTGATGACAGACCTGACCATGTTTGGTAACCGACATGACCATGTTTGAAGACCGTCCTGACCATGTTTGATCACCGACTTGACCATGTTTGATGACAGACCTGACAATGTTTGATGACCGACCTAACCATGTTTGATGTCCGACCTGGTCATGTTTGATAACCGACCCGACCATGTTTGATGTCAGACCTGACCATGTTTGATGACCGACCTGACCATGTTTGATGTCAGACCTGACCATGTTTGATGACCGACCTGACCATGTTTGATGTCAGACCTGATCATGTCGATCTGACCATGTTTGATAACCGACCTGACAATGTTTGATGACCGACCTGACCATGTTTGATGTCGGACCTGACCATGTTTGATGTCAGACCTGACCATGTTTGATCACAGACCTGACCATGTTTGTTGTCAGACCTGACCATGTTTAGTGTCCGACTTGACCATGTTTGATGTCCGACCTGGCCATGTTTGATGACCGACCTGACCATGTTTGATAACCGACCTGACCATGT